TATGTATATATATATATAATATACTTAGGAAGTCTGATTCGTGGTTCCAGGGAGGTTTATTTTTCGGGTGAGGCGTTAGACTTGAGTTCTCGGCCCAGGGTGTCACCAACCATGAGCCTGTTCCTTATGTCTCGACCCCACGACACTCAGAAGCAGGAGCAGACAATACACAATGCACTTGCACGGAGGTCTTTTCACCGTTCTTCGTTGAAGGGTTTAGGGTTTACCGGGGGGCAGGTCTACGATAGGCATTCTGACAAGCGTTTTGGGCTTAGGTCTTAGAGCTTCGGGGCCTCCACACTTCGAACGGCGTGTTGGCTTGCATGCTATTAACGTAATTAAACATATAGGAAGTATAGGGGGGGTCCGTCATATTACTATGTTAATATCAACATATAGGAAGTATTTTCTAGATGAAGTGCGAGTGCTATCTGAGCTTCCGTGCCTGCCACCCTCAATTCCCGCGATCTTTGGCTCAGCAGTGGCGATGCTGCTCGGCACAGGCTGGCTTCTGATGAAGTACTATAGGCCTTAATACAAGGAATAAAAAAACTTTTCTGGGATATATTGTACTACAACAAATATGATACGGATCCCTGAGGAATTATATTGGCTTCTTTTTGTACAGAATCCCAATGAACATGCTCAGATCGAGCACTAAATCCTAAACCCTAAACTTCCCTAAACCCCTTTCTCGGGGTCTAGCACCAGCTTCGAAAAGCAAACTTGGCCTCTCTCAGATGCGGGCTGCCAGGTCAGCTTCCACCACGGTTCAGGGCTTAGGGCTTAGGGTTTAGGGCCAGCTTCCGCCAGCAAACATGCAACCTTCAGGTGGCCTCTCCCAGATGCCCCGGAAATTCAGGCAATCTTTTGCAGCACCATGTTCCAGCAGCAATCTTGCAACTTCCAGGTGGCCCCACCGAGATGCCAGCATCAGGGATGTCCACCCGTCCTCGTCCCAGCAATCTTTCTCAGCACCAGCTTCCAGCAGCAACTGTACAACTTCAAATTGGCCACAGTCAGATGCGAGCATCAGGGCGGTCATACCTTTCTTACTCCAGCTGTCTTTGTCAGCACCAGCTTCCAGCAGCAAACTTGCAATCTCGAGGTGGCCACTCCGAGACGCGAGCATTAGGGCTGTCATGCCCTGGTGGGTCGAGCAATCTTTCTCGGCACCAGCTTCCAGCAACAAGCGTGCAACCCCAACGTGGCCATTTTCAGATCAAAGTGGCCATTCTCCGATGCAAGCATTAGAGCAGTCATGCCATCAACGTCCGAGCAATCTTTCACGGCACCAACTTCCAGCAGCAATCGTACAACTTCAGAATTACTGCTGTCAGACGCGAGCATTAGGGCGGTCACACCTGTGTTAGTCCGAAAGTCTTTGCAAGCACCAGCTTCAAGCAGCACCCTTGCAACCTCCAGGTGGCCATTCAGAGATGACCACAGTAGGGCTGTCCATCCGTCCTCGTCCCAGCAATCTTTCTCAGCACCAGCTTCCAGCAGGCACCGCACCATCTTCACACGATTCAGCGCAGCAGCAGTTGCCAGATCTGAGGCCGCCAAATCTCTGATCTTCAGATTTGGAGAGCAACCGTGGATGGGCAGCAGCACCAACTGCAATTCCACGTGATCCTCTAGCTTGGCATCATCAGCCAAGACACTGCCACCTTGCACCAGCTGCTGCAGATACACAGGGAAACCATGGGCGTCGCTCAAGAACTGCTTCACAGCCGCGACACCCTCTAGTGCCGCCGCATTTTCAACGGCCAGCTCTTGCCCCGAGGGTCTCCAAACACGAAGCATCCTTGCCATGAAGCGCGCAAGGAAGTCCAACTGCACACTCAACTGGGCTTAAGGCTCGGGTTTGGGGCCGTTTAAGGACCAGGGATTGGGGTTTAGGGTCAGAGTTTCAAGCTGCAGGCTTTCGTAAGGGGCATAGGCTTCTGGCCACTGAGCCAAAAGTCCGTTCCTCAACTCGGGAGTAGGCCCTAAACCCTAAACCCTAAACTCTATACCCTAAATCCGAAACCCTAAACCCTGAACTGTAAACCCTAAACTCTAAACCTTAAACCCTCAACTCTACACCCTAAACCCTGAACCGTAAGGTTCTAGCCCTCAGATTCCGGCCCATTTTCCCAAACCCACCACGGTAATACCCGGATACCTGAAACAACACCAGTAGAGAAATACCCTAAACCCTGAAGTCCTTGGCCTCCAACCTCTAAACCTTAAAACCCTAAATTCTGAACCCTAAGCCCTCAGCCCCCAAACTCTAAACCCGCACCGGAGAGATACCAATGCAGACATGGCAGCTGCATCTTCTGGTTCTTCAGGGCCTCATTCAACGCCTGCATAGGATCCCCCCCGGCTTCAGGGTTCCTTTTCAAGGATCCTTTCAGGGTTCCTCGAGGGGTGCTTCGAAGGGCTCCCTTAATTAAGGACCCCTAAACCCTAAACCCTATAAACCCTAAACCCTAAACCCTATAAGCCCTAAACCCTATAAACCCTAAACCCTTGAGGGCTCCCTCAAGGCCGTTTTAAGCGGTTCCTTGAAGGCCTCCTCTATGGGCTGCCCTTCAGGGCTCCTCTAAGCGATCCTCTTTTTTTGGGGATCCTGTAGGATTTATAGGGTTTATAGGATGGATAGGGCTTATAGGGTTTAGGGTTTAGGGTTTAGGGTTAACTTGGGGGGTTCAAAGAGCTTCTAGTAACGGCTTTTTGGGGCTTCAGGCCTTACCCTCAACTTTGAGCCCTATAGAGCCCTGAAAGGGACTTAGTCAGTACAAGTAGCCGTTGAGTAGACGTGTAAGTACCTGAGATGGGAGATTTTCTCTATTAGGACACTACTTTTTAACCTACTTTAATACAAAGTCCCCTGAGCCTGTCTTGAAGCAAAGAGGCGCTGTGCGTGAAAAGGTTTCTCAGTTGGTGAAGACGAACTGCACTGAGGGTCGGATATTCCAGAAACCCTGAAAATCCACCCTCAAAAACCCCTAAACCCTAGACTGCCCTAAACTCTGACAGATCACTCCCACAACGCCTCGGTCGCACGCTGTTGCGACGCCGTGAGTCCGGCCGATGCCACACTGAGCCTCACGCGTTTGGCTCTTCTACTGTTCGCAGGGCTTAGGGGAGGGCTTTCTAATATAGTCTTACGGTTGATGATATAAATCCGGCCTTACCCATAATAAGGAACATGCCATAATTCCCATAGTTCAGGGTCCTTAAGGTAGTGCAGGATTTACAGTATATCATCAACAGTAGTACGGTTTTATCGGGTGAGGTTCGGGCTTTCTGGGTTTGAAGGGCTGTTATTCGGTTTTCTTAGGTCTGATTATAGGTTTGGCAAGGGTTCAAAGGTTATTCCCTCGTGTTTCTCGTTGTAAAGTAAAAGTTCAAGACACCCCAACCAAACACCCCTGTTCTAAGCATTCAGGCCCTATATTTTCAATGAGAACTAGACTTGTCGTCTTGAAACAGCTAGCAGCAAACATCAGCAGCACACAAAACCTATCGCTGTTAAGAGCGTCTTTCAAGCATCCAAAACCCCCAACCCTGAACCCCAAAAGAGTTGTGAAAGAAAACTGGAACCGTAAACCTTAAACTCCCGAGAAAGCATATGGCCGAAATCCTAGAACCTATAACCTCAATAAGCCTTTAACTAGACCCAGAAAACAGGGGATACCAACTCACTACCAAAGGAGCTGTGCCGCCAGCGCCGCACCCTCGGCTGCTAACCTGCGGTGCCACGCTAGGGCTGAAGTTAATATAATATAATGTAATAACATAAACATAATATAGTATAACATGGTAAAATACACTGTAATGGAATAATGTGTAATGTATGTAAATATAGAATATATATATATATATTTATATTTATATTTATTTATTTACTTATTTATTTATTTATGTATCTGTCTATACATTAATTTATTCATTTATTGCTATATTTTACTATAGTCAAATTTTGGTATACTATAGTAGAATCTGGTGTCGACTTAGGATTGAGGTACAGGGTTCCGCGCGGCCCTAACACACACAAACACCTAGGAACTGTGGAGTTTTGGTGTATTTTTAGAGCTGTGGGGGGCTACGGCTAAGGGTTTTGGGGTTTCTGGGGTGTAGGTCTGTTTTAGAAAACCGGCGTCAAATTTCGGCGTCAAAGACGTTTCGGGATGCTGCACATCTCAGGTCCCTGTTAGGGCGTCTTAAAGGAATCTATAAGGGTTTCTACAGGGCTTCTACAAGGGTACTACACGGGTAGTTCTCTAGAGTAGGGTCCCTATTAAGGGCCCTTTTACACTATATTCGGGACCTAGACAGGGGCCCTGATTTAGAGAACTACCCCTATCTCTGCATAGCTTGGAACGGAGAGTCCAAGAAGCGTTTAGGGTTTAGGGTTTGGGATGGTTGAGGGTTTTGAAACAAATGATTTTCGACCTCCATGCACACCCCAAAAGCATGAACCCTAAGCCCAAACCACGGGTGGGATCCTGGCTACAAGGACCCCTAAACGAGGTACCCGAAGTTTAACAAACAACAAGCCCCTAAATCACGGCCCGATGATGTTGAGAATCCCCAGACCCCAAACCCAACCCTAAACCCTAAACCCTACCATTTTGACAACACCAAACAAACAGGAGCTTGCCTTTGGTCGGTCGATCGCTGGAGAGCTTCGAGGTTTTCGTTAATCCTCATGCAGTCGCCTTCAGCGCTATCGGGAGGGTGTGTAGATTTATAGATTTATAGGGTCGTATACTGGTTGTAGTTGTGGTTGTAGTTGTTCTATCATGCTTTCACAAGGGCTTTTTTAGGGCAATAGACTGGTTTTTGTTGGGTCTCTGATGCCGGCGTTAGGGGCTTTGCAGGTGTTCCGGCGCCTGCCCTCCAGAACTGACCAGAGACACTTCGGAGTTAGGGAGGGTGCTGCAGGGTTCGGGCTTAGGGTTTACGGGTCAGGGGTTAGGCTTTAGGTTTTGGTGGGCTTAGGGCTTGGGAAATCTGAGGTGTGGGGTTTAGGGTTTAGGGGTGAGGGTGGTCTAGAGTTTGGAAAGGGGAACGTGACTTCGAGCTGCAAAGCCGTTCCAAGGAGACCTGCCGAAAATCGAGTTGCACGATTATGGGCTCATGAACTTATTGTCAGAACCGGAACTGTAGGAACACGAGTGACTAGTTCCTGCAAAAGGAACATCAAATCATATTTGGGTGGTGGCGCTGGTCTACTGACAACCAATACGTCACTAGAATAATCACACACTGGTGCTGCTTATCCGTTTTCCAAGCAAGAGACGGTGTTAGTCTCTGTGATTGCAATTATCATTGCATGCACTCAGATCAACAGTAAATAGCAATTAATCCTGAAAGCTTTCACTTCTTCACTGCAAAACCTTTCGCAACCGAGGTGCCTAAAGCCCAGTGAGGATGTGGGCGCCCGCTGTGTACACTTAGACAGACTCTACTTTTGATTTTCAGATGACGGGGTTTAGGGTCAGGGGCTCGGGCACTGCTTGAAGCGCACCAATGTCCGCAAATCACTGAACAAGTCGTCCGGTAAATTCCAGCCGGAAATCCTCATACCATGAACAGTCAAGCAAGGAACTATGCCATGACCCAGACACCAAGTCCTCATCCCAGCCCCAGGGTGGCCCAGAACCCTGAACCCCATCGGCGGATACCCACACTCAGAGGTCGTCCATCATCTTCACTGTTGTCATCTACAGAAGAACATCGTCGTCGTCATGGTCATCGTCATCACCAAAACACCATCATCACCGTCAGCACCACCATCAATCACAATCACCGTCATCACCACCATCATCATCACCAGCATCATCATCGTTGCCGCAGACACCTGCTTATAACCAAAAGAAAGGACTAGCTTCGCTGAAATCACGCAGCACTCAGCACCATAAAGACCAAAACGTGCTAGACCCTTCACCCTAAAAATCGAATCCTAAACACTAAATCTTACATCTCTACTGGGTTTGTTGTTTAGGGGTTCAGGGTTTAGGTAAAACTGCAGCTCTGACCATGTCGAGCTCGGCACCTGCCAAGTTGTTGACGTCCTCAGTGAGTGAGCCCATGGCCTCGCGCAGCTTCACGTTTTGGGCTTGGGAATAAAAACCCACCAAAAAGCTGCAGTGGGTAAACTTCTATAATAAGTTATGATAACAAGCTCTGGCAAAGTGAATCTTAAAAAGCTTTGTCCGCTGAACCCACGACATTGCATCAACAATTCGCGAACCGGCTCCTAGCTAGCCTGTTTCCAACGCAGGGCCTAACCTCCAAAGGCGGGAGGTGCGAGAGCTGTTGGGGAAAACCCATCCTTTCAACAAATTTCTGTGTGGTCTCCAGGTGCGACGCGTCCCGCCTGCCGCTGCTCTTGGGCAAAATCGTGGAAATCCTTCTGCAAGTCCTGGGCGTCAACCAAAACCCTCAAGGTCCCAAGGCTTTTAGAGCCCGAAGAACCCTCAACACCCGAGAAATCGAGTGCCCTCACAGGTCTTGGTGCTGGCAGTTGTTCTGCAGCTCTATAAATCAGTGGCTCATAGTTTCTTTGTTTAGGGTTTTTGGGAGGTGGCATCATGCAAAACCCTGAACCCCCCAAACCCCAAAGCCCTAAACCCTGAACCGCTACCCGAAACTGCCTGCATCTAGCCTCGAACCCAAACAGTTGAGGCGCTTGAGATCTCGACTTCAGACAGAAGCCACCCCAGTTTCCCTCTAAATCGCAAAACTCGAAGTCCTAAACACAACCCCGCAAGCCTCCCCCAAAACCGCAAACTTCAGAGTCCCTAGCCCCCACCCCCCCTCTCCCTCCCCTTGTTTACGGGTTTAGGGTTTAGCGTTTTAGGGTTTAGGGTTTAGGTTTTATACGGGCTTAGGTTTTTTTAAGGCTGCCATGCGCTCCCGGGGCTTAGGTTTTAGGGTTTAGGTTTTAGGGTTTAGGAGGTTTAGGGTTTAGGGCTTCGGGTTCAAGGGCCCCTCCGAGCGCTCCTGCTTGTCTTGGAGCGCCTGCGCCTCGAGACCCCGGCGGAGGGTGCCTGCTTCAGCCTCCAGAGCTGCCATTCATATGCATCTGTGGGCTTAGGGCTAATAAGGTGGGTTTAGGGCTTTTTGGGTGTGGGGGTTCTGTGGGCTTGGGGCTAATTAGGGTTTGGGGCTCTCTTTTTGGGTTTCGGGCTTTTTCGGTTTGGTGCTTTTTTGGGTTTAGGGCTTGTAGGGGGTTTGGGGCTCTCTGTGGCTTTAGGGCTTGTAGGGTTTGGGGCTTTGTGTGGGCCTAGGGGCTTGTAGTAGGGTTTGGGGCTCTATGGGTGTTGGGGCTTACAGGGTTTGGGGCTCTATG